TTACCTACACTCTCATCAGAAGCGGGAGATGGCAGTGGAGGAGCAGAAGTGGTCCCTTGTACCCAATTAACTTGTTGTCTGTCTGTGTCCCGGACATAAACATGTCCGTCTTTATCCTTGGTGACATTGGGTTCTATAGTCCCAGTAGAAGAGGGTGGTGCAAGAACAACTGGTTCCACCATAGGAAGCATAGTAGAAGAGGGTGGTGCAAGAACAACTGGGTCCACCATAGGAAGCATATGACTCACTTTACACTAAGACTCCCCCGGAAATGAGGACGGTGACACCAAAGAGGACAAGAAATAGGACTGGGACTCAAAGAAAGTAACATCCATGGACACAAACCACTTACGGGAAGAAGGGTGGTAACATTTATACCCCTTTTGAGTAGGAGAGTAACCAAGGAAAACACACTTGAGGGAGCGAGGGTCTAACTTATCACGAAAAGGAGATTGATTATGAACAAAACAGACACAACCAAATATTTTGGGAGGAATAGAAAACAAGGACTGGGAACCTAGGAGGACGTGAAGAGAAGCTTGTTTTTGCAAGACCTAGGTAGGGAGACGATTAATAAGATGGGCAGCGTTGAAAACAGCGTCGCCCCAATAGGGCCGAGGGACACTCATAGAAAAACATATGCACCGAGCCATGTCAAGAAGATGCCGATTCTTACGTTCCGCCACCCCATTTTGTTGAGGGGTATTGGTGTAAGAGGTCTGATGGATAATTCCATGAGTAGAAAAATATTGTCCTAACCCAGAATCTATGTATTCCCCGCCATTATCAGAACGAAATAGTTTGACAGTGGCCCCAAACTGAGTACAAATCATCCTATGAAAATTGCGAAACACAGAGAAAACTTCACTCTTGTCTTTCACCGCCACCCCATTTTGTTGAGGGGTATTGGTGCAAGAGGTCTGATGGATAATGCCATGAGAAGAGAAATATTGTCCTAACCCAGAATCTATGTATTCCCAGTCATTATCAAAACGAAATAGTTTGACAGTGGCCTCAAACTGAGTACAAATCATCTTATGAAAATTGCGAAACACAAAGAAAACCTCACTCTTATCTTTCATGAGATATACCCAAGTAGCACGAGAAAAATCATCAATGAATGTAACAAACCATCGATGACCTTTCACAGACATAACACGAGAAGAACCGCAAACATCAGAATGTATTAATGAGAAAGAAACTAAACTTTTATTCAAACTGGGAGCAAAAGAAGCTCAGTGTTGTTTTCTAAGTTGACAGGACTCACAAAGAAAGTCAGACACGTGATGATTTGCGAAACCAGATGGAAATAAATGCTTAAGTAAATAAAATGAAGGATGCCCAAGACGCCGATGTCACAGCCATAAATCAGCGGGGATAGCAGAAGACGTGGTGGAAGAATAAGCAAGTTGGTCCGGTTAATCCAGGAAGTAGAGACCATTTTCTGCACTACCACTGTCAATCGTCCTCCTCGTGACAAGGTCCTGAAAAAGACAATGATCAGGAAAAAACGTCACATTACAATTCAAATCTTGGGTAAGATGACTCAAGGATAACAGATTAATAGAAAAATTAGGAACATGGAGAACAGAAGATAAATGGATGGTAGGAGTGACTTGGACTAAACCTTTTCCAGAAATGGAAGAAACAGTACCATCTGCAGTCCTAACTTTGTCCTGACTTGAAGAGGGCTTATAGGCAGAGAAAAGATCAGAGGAGCCAGACATATGATCTGAGGCACCAGAATCAATAATCCAAGGCAAAGAATTATGACACAGGAAAACACAAGGAGAAGAGACTAAGTTACCTAAGCGGACAAAGGATGATGAAGTTATACTGAGAGCAGTAGAAGACCAGCGGTCCAACAATTAGCGTAGAGCATCCTCAAACTCAAAATCAGAAGCTTGGCCAACTGAAGCAGAATTAGAATCAAGTGTATCAATGGCACTAGACTGATGATCCCGGGAATAAGAACCATATCCTCTAGACTAGCCTGACCGACCTCCTCTAGAACCAGACCAATCACCTCGACCCCCGGATGGAGTCCCATGAAGCCTCCAACACGTCTCACGAGTATGCCGCGGCTTCTTACAATAAAAAGATCAGAGGAGCCAGACATATGATCTGAGGCACCAGAATCAATAATCCAAGGCAAAGACTTATGACACAGGAAAACACAAGGAGAAGAGACTAAGTTACCTAAGCGGGCAAAGGATGATGAAGTTATACTGAGAGCAGTAGAAGACCAGCGGTCCAACAATTAGCGCAGAGCATCCTTAAGCTCAAAATCAGAAGCTTGGCCAACTGAAGCAGAATTAGAATCAAGTGTATCAATGGCACTAGACTGATGAGCCCGGGAATAAGAACCACATCCTCTAGACTAGCCTGACCGACCTCCTCTAGAACCAGACCGATCACCTCGACCCCCGGATGGAGTCCCATGAAGCCTCCAACACGTCTCACGAGTATGCCGCGGCTTCTTACAATAATCACAGAATACAGACTCCTTAGCAACAGAAGGAGGGATGGGAGTCAGGCTGACGCCATCTCGAGGAGTAGACAGTAATGTTGAGCGGTCAGTAGAGACAGGGGATATCATAGCAGACCGACGACTCTCCTCATTCTGTACATAGGCAAATGCCTCCTGAAGTGAAGGAAGAGTGTCCATACCAAGAACTCGACCCCTAACTGGATCATACTCCACATTTAGGCCTGCTAGAAATTTAAAGACCCGTTCCTGTGCGATGAACTTCTTGTACCCGACAGAATTAGCCGGGCAAACAGGCTTATAGTCTTGCAGGTGGTCAAGGCGTTTCCAGCCGTTGGTGAGGAAAGTGAAATACTGAAGAACAGTCTGCTCCCCCTGAAGTGAGCTCTCAATAGAGCGGCGCAACTCAAATGCCTGTGAAAAATTCCCTTTGCGGGAATAGGTGGCAGCCACAGCATCCCAAACATCCTGGGCAGCCTCCATAGACAAGTAGCCCTCACCAATGTCAGGAACCATCGAATGAATAAGTTAACCCATAATCAAAGAGTTGGTAATCTCCCATTGGTCATAACCCGAGTCAGTGGTACTAAGTGTCTGTATCCGGCCATTAACATACCCCATCTTCCCTCTGCTCTTCAAAAATATAGTCAAACTTTGAGACCATGCTAGGTAGTTTTGACCATTAAATAGAGAGGTGGTGATTTTTAGACTAAGGTTGGGGTTCTCAGTCATGGTAGTAGGTATGATAGGACTCTCACTCCTCGGTGTTTGAGAAGTACGGGATACACTGGTGGAATCTTTCATGGATACTATACTACTGAACCTACAACAAAACTAGTGGCAATCACAAACTCGGAAGGTGGTGGTGAAAGAACAGGCACAATGACCACTATAAAAGCATAACAAAATTAAGAAACCATTTTGTTTTTTTTTTAATTTATTTATTTAGTTATTCATTTATATGTATTGGTATGGTGTTTATACACAACATAGGTATACTGAATAGAGATGAGAGTATGCTAGAGCCAGAGAAGGAGATCAATGAACTGAGGAAGGTCGACGAGTTGAAGAGATCGACTAAGGAAGGCGGCTGAGTGACGAAGGCGATAGAGGAAGGCGGCTGAGTGACGATCGATAGAGGAAGGCGAGACAGAGACGACGGCGACTGAGTGATGAAGACGAAGCAGAGATCGACGATGAGAGACGGCTGAGTGACGATCGACAGAGGAAGGCGAAGCAGAGACGACGACGACTGAGTGATGAAGACGAAGCAGAGATCGACGAGCTGCTGATCGACGTAACAGATGATCAACCTAGGTAAGTTTTCGAACCCTAGAGTGTAGTTGGTGCAAAGGTCGACCAACAAGGGTGAGCCGAAACCCTAGAGGTTCTGCTCTGATACCATGAAGCTTGAGTAATCAACTTAGGGTTTGATAGGATATCATCCCCTATTTATATAGATGAAGATTAGGGTTTGTAACAATTACAAGATGAGACAATTACAAGATGAGCCCTGAGGGCATAGAATAATTACAAACCAATAACTCAAATAATAATATAATATGCTAACATGCTAACAGTAAATTAAATGTTAATGGTCAGAGTTATCTATTAGTTTATGATGGAAGGGATATTTTGATATTGTTGTGTGTATTTATAGTCAGAATAATGTCCTGTTTGGATATAGGGTGTGCATTTTGTTGTTGTGCTAGTTTATACATGTGGGTGTTGTTAACATCATTCATCCAATGCAGGCAACGGGGTTTTGTGTCCTGACATTAGTTATGTATGTTGGTTTAGAGTGAGATCGACAGATACATGATTATGTTTCTTGTGTGTTGTACCAATATGTTCAATGTGGAAATATGTTGTGTATTGTAAGTGTGTGTCTTGTAGTATGGTATTTCATTTCGTAATGTTTCCGATTTATATTAGACACGTCGTAATATGCTTAGTGTGTGATGTGGTATGTCGTGATGTTTCACAGAAAAAGAAAATTGATTCTCACATTACAAGAAAACAATATCAGCAATTGAAACTCATCCACTGTATATCACTCTACAGAAATCAAACACACAAAAATGAAAAATGTAAAACGTTACCCTCGCAATCATTAGCCACAAATGAGCAAAAAAGAATCTACCAAAATCATAACAAGGGTAAATGTGTAAACTCGATCCATGTCAAATAAATAAATAAAAATATTCCTTACCAATTAAATAGGACTAAATGGTTTATAAAAAAAAAAAATATAAGACTAAATGGATCATCATTTCTTAATTTAGAATTTACCGATAATTTCCCCAATATACTATTATATATAAATAATTACATAAATATATTATTTATCTATTAAATAATATAAATAATAAAAAAATATTATCAAGAGGTGAGTTGAAGCTCAATTAATTACTGAATCGGGTTCGAGTTCAGCAAACGAGAGCAAACAAGCGAATCTCAAGCTCCGTGAAACTCGGCTCGGCCCGTTGGTAGCGGTTTTGGTTTTGGATCAACCCATAAAAAGAGTATTCCTGGTTTGGGTCGGTCCATAAGCATAGGTGAAACGGAAAAGCGGCCAAATGTCAGAACAAAACTGACAGCACCGCAAGAGTTTCATCCATCGATCGTCGTTCTTGAAATCCCTAACCTCAATAAGAGAGAGAGAGAGAGAGAGAGAGAGAGATGAGTGAAGGAGGGAAGAGCAGAGGCTTCGCCGCCGTAGTCGGCGGTCAGCAGCCGTCGGCGCCGCCGCCGCAGTATTACTACGGGACGTTTCAAGGCGTCGCGAACTACTATCCTCCGCCCCCTCACGCCGTCATGGGTTTTCCTCAGCCCGCCCCTCCTGCCGGCTCCTCCGCGATTCCTCATCCTCCTTATTATTCTCTCGGTTACCAAACCGTTCCAGGTTCTCTCTCTCTCTCTGAAAAATTTACATTCATATATAAATATGTATTTACTTTCCTTTGATCAGATTTTAGATTTTCATGTAAAATTTGTATCCTGTTCTTTGAAATGTTACTAGCGGATGGTTGATTTTGTGGGCAATCACTTTAAGAAGATAGTGGAATCGAATTGAATAAGATATTTCATATATGCATGTATATGGAATTATATATTTATATGACGCATGTGTGTATAAAGTATGTGAAATGAATTCGAAATCGAATAAGATATATCATATATGCATGTATATGCAATTATATATTTGTATGACGCGTGTGTATAAAATATATGAAATGAATTAGCTACCTGGATTAAATGGCAGTTTGGCAATCCAAGTGGAAGACTTGTCGTTAGTGGCTCTAAAAAAATGGGGGAAAGGCTACATACATTTTGCCGGCGTGCGCTTTTGGGGTAGTCTTGCTTACTTGGCTTACCCTGATTGACTTATATGTGTGTTCTCTCGTTTTGTTGTTTCTTGGTTTTTACTGGGCAGTGAATTAGCTCTTTGGCCAACGATAGTGACTAATGGGTTTTGGTGATTATTTTAAGTGATATATTTTAATTTAATCTATGGAGTATTTAATGGTAACTGGCTGACTTTATATTTCAGTTAGACTGGCAGGATTTTTTGAGGTGGCAATCACTTTGCCTGATGTCGCTACACATGGATTATCCAACTTATTGTAACAGCCTCTGAATAGGTTGGTTTGCTTTTTTAGATTATGGGCAGAGCAAAAAATTTCCTTACAGGCTAAGTGACATCCTGTTTTACTAGAGATATGGGAACTAACACAATGAGTGGAATCTCTGTAACAATAACGACGATAGCTGCCTAGTGGCCTGATACATACAAAATCGATGTGGCACAACTATATGACCTTTGCGGTATTTAAGAGGCATGTCTATGAGCCCAATGCCCATAATATCCTATCAACTAGCAAGGCCACTATTATGCACAAATTAGTCTTGGATACACTTTTTTTTTTTCTGTTTTTTTTTTTTAAATACAGGGTATCTCCGGCCCAACATAGCCCAATTGGGGCTAGAGTTACCTCGCAACTAGATAGCCGAGAACTAATCCTTGGAGGCCTTCAAGTTAACGACCAGGCAAACTTCCAATGGCTCAATGGAAGACTCGAACTCGAGACCTTGGATCTTATTCCTATCAACTAGCAAGGCCACTATTATGCACAAATTAGTCTTGGATACACTTTTTTTTTTTTTTTTTTTTTTTTTTAAATACAGGGTATCTCCGGCCCAACATAGCCCAATTGGGGCTTGAGTTACCTCGCAACTAGATAGCCGGGAACTAATCCTTGGAGGCCTTCAAGTTAACGACCAGCCAAACTTCCAATGGCTCGTTGGAAGACTCGAACTCGAGACCTTGGATCTTATCCTTCAGTTTTTACCGCTCAACCAACCTCTTGGGGTTAACTAGTTTTGGATTCTAACTATATATATATATATATATATTTGTTCTTAACTTGGAAAGATTAGTATAATATTGAAAGATCAAAGAACATTACAAAGGAGCCTTTTTTTACCTTGTACACGAGGCCCGATCTTACAATCGATGATGGAGAAGTAATTATACTTTGCATTTGGCAATCTTTTGGGAGGGGGATTTTAACTGATATCTCTCACCATATATAATGTAATTAAGTGGTCCATAGTTGGAGCAACTACATTAGTGATAGACATGCTTTCGTTTTTCGACATTGTTGGTGTAAGTTGTAACTACGAAGTCCCCAGGTATAGGACTGATTTTTGGAAGTTTGAGAAAATGGTTTTGATTGATCTCGTCGGCCTTATTGTACACCAATTATATTCTAGACGTTGGTTGTCATGACCTGAATCCGCTCCTAGAGGTTTGGATCATAATTGATTAGTAATCATTAGATTATCTACGGCCTCAGATAGAATTCAAATCATAATTAAGTATATGAGGCCAGAAGCGGAAGCAAATAATAGAACATTGCCCAATGAGCTATGTATATATGGAACAAACAAATACATTTATACGTTAATAACTCACATCCAAATATGTACGTATAGATATTACGCATATCCAGAAGTCATTCACAAGTACAAGTTATTGTCCTACAAAACCTAAACAATAAATATGAAGCGAGGTCACACATGACCATCAAAAACAAAAAGATAAAAGCCTCTTTCGAGAGGTGCTCCATGGTTGACATCACAAAATCTGGGTAATCACTCGACTTCTCTAATGCTGGACATCCCGTTGCTCACCTACATATATATATACAATGAAGTGGGTTAAATCACAGTGAATAACATCGGAGTAAAAAGGTTACATGAATGAGTTTTGATATTTAATATAATTATGGGTAAACTTCACTTTACCCCTTTGTGGTTTGGGTTGGGTGCGGATTACCTCCCTGACATTTAGAAATTACCACTTAAACCCCATTTGGTTACTGGATTGAAGTGCACAGTTAGCATTTCCATCTAACATAACAGCCTATGCATGACATGTGCGTAGTTTGCAAATGGGTATGAAAAGATAGTTTTCCCTCCGAAGTAAATGACTAAAATGCTCGCATCTTTATTATCATCATCAATTTTCGAAGTCTTCCATCATCTTCATCATCAATATCAAGATCTGTAAACCTCTACTCAAAAAAAAAATAAAATAAAATAAAATAAGAGAAGAAAAAGGAGGAGATAAAAGGATTATTAGATTTATAAAAAATAGAAAAGAAAATACACAATCTTTTCAACTTATTTTTCATATAATTATATTTTACAAATACATACTTAAACATAGATACTATAATTTATATATATATATATATATCTTTGCTAATTGTCCAGTCGCTAAGGTCATGGTCGATCGTTAAAGCCTGGCCATGACCCAAAGTAGGTCTCAACAGCCCCATTTACCTTCCCACCCATATCAATTTTTCATAAAGCTGTTAAATCCTTCTGAACTACAACATCATCATCAGGGAAGAGAATTCGGTGCAACTTTGGGTACATCTTTGGCAAGTAGAACCAGAGGTAATTCAACATGGACAAGTACTTGGGTTTCTTGAATTTCATGTTATTTACTTCTTTAGTAGCATTCTCTGTCCTATTCTCAAAGTAAAACTTCTGCATTTTCACAAATTCAAGTTGCCGAAGTACCGACACATAAGAGGAATTCAAGAATGTGAAATCGTCCACAAATTTCACCTCAATATAGGTATGCATATAGATACATGCAAGTAAGTTCATGTGTAGGTGTTGGCAAATCCATATATTTTGGGGGTTTGTGGTTCTGGATAGTATTCCTTGAAGTGCTTGTAGTTCTAATTAACAATTTCTTCTTGGAAAGAGTAAGCTTTTGAACTTGTCACAATGTTTCTTTACATGTTTTGATGGAAATTATGTTGTTTAAATTAAAATCCTAATTTCATATGTGGAAACCATGGTTATTAGAATTTCGATCCGGATTTTACGATCTATTTGAGTACAATCGACCCGGATCGTCTAAAAAATGCTTTATAGGTAGGATCTTTCGATCCTGGTAATAGGATCTTATAGGACTGTAGAATCCCGATCTGAATCCGATCCAATTTACAAGTCTTGTTTTGTATTGTATGATATATTTTATTGTAAATTTTATGTTTGTTGTCTAAATATCAATTTATGTGGTCAAAATAGATAATAAAAATTAAGTAGTATTGAATCAAATAGACTAAGAAAAATAAATTACGAAACAAACCTTCAAATATTGTGGTAATTTAAGAAAATTAACTAGTCGAAAAAACAAATTTAGCTTTAGCGGAGTCTAAAGAGGGTAAGATAATTGCAACTTTATCCCAATTTTTAGAGAGATTATTTTTGTAATTCGAATCCACTCCACCAGGGATGCCCACGACAAACCTTATCATTTGGTTAAGCTACTCGTTTGAGTTCTTAATCTATTTTCTTATTCAACTTTGTTAAATATTTTTTCTTTACTTTTTATGCATTATTGTAGATTGTAAAGTATTTTGTTATAGAATTCTTCTACACCATTTTTGATGAATACAAATTTTTTATCATTGAGTTTTCTATTGTATAATATTATATGTACATTTTATATGGAGTATTATATTTTTCAGAATATTTTTCACTTCTTTTCAATAGAATATAGGCTCATTTTGTATATACTTTTTAAGAAATATTTATTTGAATTAAATTATTATGTAATTTGTCTTTTTTAGTAGGATCTTACGATTCTCGATCCGATTCTACGATCCGATCCTATAGACATCTTCAATGATCCAACGTAAGATCTCGATTTTAACAATCCTGGTGGCAACCCTAAGTTCTCTCCAGATAACCTTTAGTCTTCTCAAATGCATGACTGTTGAATGAGGAATGGTAAATAAGGGTTATATTTATAAGGGCAAAATAGCCTTTTTACTTCTGCAATTAATGGTGTTAATTGTGCACTTCAATTTAGTGTGATTTCCAAATGTCAGGGAGGTAATCCGTACCCGGCCCAAACCATGAGGGGTAAAGTGAAGTTTGCCCTATAATTATTCTCATACACAATTTCTTGTTATAGCAAAATGACCTCAGGTCCAAAACTTGCTAGAACGATCTCTGGTTCAACATATACAGAAGTGCATAACAGAACACATATTACACTTAGCGGAATGACCTTGGATCCAATCAATTACAGCTGTATAATAATCATTTGGTTAACACAACAGATATTTCAAACTTATTAGATGATTAAAACAACCTTGGGTTCATCTTATTAGGTACACAGAACGACCTTGGGTCCATTTCACATATTCGTACTTATTCATTCCCATTAACAGATATCATGTTGATCGAACAGGTAGAAGCTCATTCATATCACATTATCATAAGTTCAGAAAAGCTTACCACATTGGAAATATTTAAAAAATAACATATATGAAAATATTTTTACTAAGATATTACTCACAGCGATTAATTTGTTGTCACTTTTTCGTAGATCAACCTAGATAACACACAAACATATACACACATTGAAGCACAATGCCTAATCGAATCATTCCTTTCTTAATCAATTTCTTTATGTCCAATTCTTACTTATTAAGTCAATCATGAGACTTATTTCATAGCTAAGAATGCTCAGAAGGACGTGAGGATGAAGATATGAACTGAATATAACTTTTCAAAATATTCTAAAACAGGATAGTTCGCTCGAGCGGTCTGCATAGTTTGCAAAAGTACTGAATGCTTGAATTTTAGGCTTGATGGTCGCTCGAGCCAAGTTCAATGAAAGTTGAAGTCACTCGAGTGATGTGCAATGCTTTGCAAAAATACTGGAAGCCCTCATTGTGTACTCAAGCAATGACTTTGATGGGGCTGAATTCGGAATTTTCAAACATGAAGAAAAATGCTTCAAACTTGATTTCAAAGCCAAAAACTCTTGCATGACATGTTCTAAACTATGAATATACCTCCAAAACATGAACACAAGACTAATTTTAAACCCTATATTCAAAACTTCATAAATTCTTCATAATTGGAACTCAAATCTTCATGCATGAATGAACTTGTTTCAAATTCTACTTCTACTACCTTAAAAACATGAAATTGACTTCGAAACTCTTTAAACCATGGGTGCATGCATGATATAACTTCTAATTCAAACATAGATAAATAAAATCATGCTCAACATGTTGAAATTACACAAAATTATTCATGTATGTATGTTCTAGCTCCCAATTCCTTGACTTCTAACTCAATTCTTGAGCTTAAGCTCATTATCTTCTTGAATTCACATGTTAGGTGACTCTAATTCATGAATTAAGAGCCAAACACTTATCTAGAGTCTTGTAATTAGCTCAATTAAGCAAAATTTTGAGTTCCTCTCCTTAGTTATTCAATCTCCTAGCAAAATCTTTAAGAACAAGCTCACGCTCTCTCTAAAATGGAGTCTCTCTATCTAAAGCTCTCCTCTAGCAGATTTTGAGCTCAAGAATGTGTCTAAACTCTTCTATTATCATATATGTACACGTTGATTAACTTAATACACTAATTAGGGATTAAGCTAATTAATTAGAACTTAAGGCTAACTAAACAAAACTTAATTTAATTAAATTGAATCAAATTTTAATCAAACTTCTCAAAAAGTACTAAAAATTATGCCGTCCTAATTAAACTTGTCCATTTTGGTTTCTAAAGTCATTAAGGCCTTCAATTTTAGATCTAAAGCAGAAATCACAACAGATACTTCATCAATGATATGTATATGTTTACATATTAAATATAGTGGATGGAAAAAAAAAATGATAAATTAGTGTAAGAGATAGTGGGTGGTGCATGTGAGTAGGCTCGTGGGGGAGAAGAAAAAGAGGGAGTGGGTGATAAAAAAAAGAAAAGAAAAAAAAAAAGGTGGAATATGGATGATGAAAAGTGGGAACCAACCCATGTGGGTGGAGGTGGTGTGGTGGTGTTTCGGTTCCTTTTCAAAAAAAATGGAGTAAAATAAATATAGAAAAAAAAAAGAAAAGAAAAGAAAAGAAAGTGGGGTACATGAGGATGTTTTTTAAAAGAAGAGATAATTTGTTTTGTTTTGTTTTGTTTTTTTTTTTTTTTTTTTTTTTTTGTTTTTTTGGAAAAGAAGAGATAAAAAAAATAAAAAATAAAAACATAAAGAAACAAAGTAGTAAAAGAAAAAGTGTTGTTCTCTCTCTCTCAGCACCGAGAGAGATGAAAATGCATTGGTTAGTGGGATCACGTGGGTAGCTTTTCTTTTCTGTGTGTGATGGGTGTGTGTGTTTATGCCATCTGTGTCTTTTGATAGAGCCAGGGCATCTCCTTTTCCTTGCAGCTCTAGTCGCTCAAGACATTCATTACCCAAAAAATCCTTCTGAAACTGAGAATGAGAAAGAATGGGAGGAAGCTCATGAGAGAACGAGGTGAAGTCAAAGTTGGTGTGTCCCCTCTGTCGAGGGCAGATCACTGGGTGGATTGTCGAGGAGCCTGCCCGCCATTTTATGAATGCAAAATCAAGAAGCTGTGCCTGTGAGGCGTGTGATTTCAGTGGTACATATACGGATCTAAGGAAGCATGCAAGGACAGAGCACCCTTGTGTGAGGCCATCAGAGGCAGACCCAGAGAGGCAGCGCAATTGGAGGAGGAAGCGAGCGGCGAACGAGGAGGTCGCTGTCGATTCTGAGGAGAGTGAAGAGAGAGAAGATGTTGAAGAAAGCTGCGCTAGGGTTAAGAAATATTGCCTTTGAGAATATTAGTGACAACCATTGTTGATCAAACCCTCTCTCAAAGTGTTCTGCCACAAGCCAAGAACCCACAAGCACTTGGTGTCCAGAAGAGTATTTCAGGGACACCAAACTCTGGAGCAGCTTTGAGAGTGAAGCTCATGACCCATCGGAGACGATACACGTCACCGGCGGCACATCCGATGATGACGATGACGATGACGTGTCATTGAACTTGGAGAGTAAATTGCGGAAAGGAACAATGCAATTTTTTGGAGGTAGATTAGGAGAGAGAAGGGATGTCTTGGGTGGAGTCGGCTTCTGAAGGAGGGAGGCCATCGGGGATGGATTCGAACTGGAAGTCCGGCAACCCGTGGACCGCGTTGGTACCTCTGGACCTGAGTAAACGTTCGTGACTGTATTCGGTGTTGACAAAGGTTATGTGAAAGCCTCTGTAGTGGAGTAGCTTTGCCAGTTTTAGCATTGGGTTCACATGGCCTTGTGCTGGTGTGAACATAAGTGGAATAAATGGTGAAGTGATGCCTGGCCAGTGGGAGTTTCAAAGTGTTGTTGAAGAATCTGCCATTGGAGAAGAAATTAAGAAAATTTGGGTTTGTCCGGCGGGCGGCCAAGGCGAGGTTGCCGCCCGCCGGTGAAGCGGAATTACTAAGTTGTTAACCTGGCTCTGATACCATGTTAAAATTGATGTATTTATTGATTGTTGTATGTTATATTTATTACAATGATTCATGATTCCTATATATAGAAGAGGGTGAGTGTGTAGTAGGTGAGGAGTAGGTGAGGAGTAGGTGGAAAGTAGGTGAAGTAGGTGAGTGTGTAGTGGTAGGTTTTGGTACATTTTAACAATTTTAGATCTAAAGCAGAAATCACAACAGATACTTCATCAATGAACATATATGCATACAAATTACACATCAAACACATAATTAACTTTCAAAATTAAATAGATAAAGGTATACTACGTGATGGGGTTATCACACTGGGCTTCGTCTGTTAGTAGTGTAATTTGTTTTGATTATTTGGTGTGATTGGATTAGATTGGAGTCATGTTTTCTTCTTTCTTGAATAGTATTCATAATCATAAGGGGGATGTTGGTTGTGGTTGTGAAAGATGAAATGAACATAAAATGATCAAAATTCAAACTTTTGTCCTCTGAGAAAGTAATTGTAACACAAGTCTTGGAGCTATTTTTTGCATGACACATTGAAGACTAGTTCATTTCTCCATCTACTGAAATCTTTTGAAAAGTAAACATAACAAGTGCTCTTCTTTATATGCAAAGCTGCTCTAGCTAAGATGTAAAACCATTGTTTAGTAGGTCGGAGCATTCCAAATGACATAGCCTTCTTTTCCAGAAAAAGAAATAGTCACTATTAACTAGCTTCTGCTGCTTTTTTACTTTTATATTTTGAGGCGTAATGTTTGAAATTTGACTATTCTTTTAAGCTTGTTATGTAATTTTCTATAGAATGGTACTAAAATACTCGTAAACCTGCCAACATGATTCATGCAGGGTGGTTCCTTTTAGCAGTCTATTGGCATTATGAAAAAAATTTATGAAAGATAGAACTTTCAGAGTTTTTATTGGAAGGAATAGTATTAGAAGTTTCTAGGGTTAGGGTTTTCTACAAAAATTTCTAGGCATTGACAGGACTTGGTGTAAGAAGCGTTTGAGAATTGGAAAAGGATTATAGTTTAAGGAATTTGATTTAGAAACATTTCAGTATGACTATTATTGTGAATGCACTACGAAAATTTTGAGGACAGAGAGAACTTGTTTTGGTGCATTTGCGTTTATGTACATGATGTATATGTGTGAACATGATGTATATGTGTATATAAAAATATGTTCTATATGTAATGTTTTCCGTCCTCTATATTCTTTATATTGGTTTGGTGTTGCTCTAGGTTATGCTGTTGCTGATGGGAGACCCATGGGAGAGCATCGCCTTCCTTGCTGTGGGATTGGGATTGGCTGGTTCTTGTAAGTTCAAAGTGATTTAATACCAACTGATTTCATTTTTATTTTTTTAACCAAGACTTTCCTTTATATAGGGACATATTGTTTGTCCACAATAATGATAATAACTATCCTCGATGTATCAACCCCTACCAAGATGTTGAGATGGAGGAATATATACACTCTGACAATTAGCCACTGTGACATGCACTCTCTACCCTGATGTTGAGATGACGGGGAATTGAATACTCTGATAATTGAACCATGTAATGCGTCAAAAGATTTGGAAATTAGATGAATCTAACACCTCACACTTGCATTTGGCCTTTGTACCCGAGTCGTCGTAGTTAGGGGTGTGCACGGGTCGGTTCGGCTCGGGTATACCCTTAGCCCGTCATCCAAACTGACGTCATCGGTTCAGTAAAGCAACCATCCATCATCGACCGACTCACATTTTGGAATCGACTGAATTAAAGACCTCGGTTTAGCGGTCGGTTCAATCGATTTCGAACACCCGGTAGAGAAAGAGATGGAAAAAAATATGAAAAATAAAATTGGGATTTCATAATAAAAAAACCTTGAACTCACATATTTATATATATATACAGAGCTAAGAAAGTAAAAATAGAGAGAGTGGTGAAAAATACGAGAGAGGGAACTTCCATCACCATCATCACCTTTACTCATCACTCATTGGCGCCGTTGTTGCCGCTCATGGAAGCCACCCCATCAATCATCGTCGCCATTGCCACATCGAAGATGGAAGAAAAAGAGAGAGAAACGATATAAGGGAGAGAGTGAGAGATCAGTATGTGTTTAAATTTCAAAGAGAGAGAAAAAGAGGAGAAAAATGAAGAGACCAAATCTGAGAATAAAGAGAGATAGAAGTGTCTCTTCATTTTTCAGAGTTATTAGTGGAAAATGGGACTTTGAATATATATATATATATATATAGAGAGAGAGAGAGGCGAGTGTAAATGCTTCTGGACAATAGCACACCTAGAATGAAGAGAGACATAGAGAGAGAGAGAGAGAGAATATTACCGTGGGAAGTGGGATGAAGTGGAATAGTGTGTGTGACAGAGACAGACTGTGAACTGATAAGACCAAGGCAATAAAAAATTAATATACATCAATATTTATTCGGTCAGGTCGGATTTTTTCAGGTGTGCATTGCTTATATCCGTTTCCGACCGTGAAATCGTGAAATTGAATAGCAAAAAGCCGCAGCCGACCATGCTGGTTGTCGAAATCATCCATAAGAGCTCAGGTCGGCCGGTTTGGATGGGTTGGCGGATTACAAGCACAACCCTAGTCGTAGTTTACATTTAAATGGAAAGGCGCTAGAAAAATATTTCCATGTGCCTATGCTTCCAGCATGCATGCCATGTGTCGATTATAAGCATGGAGAGGAGGTGGGGAAAAAGAATGGATTGAAGTAATTATCCTTTAGTTACTTTTTATTTGTTGAATTATTTTATCTAATTCCAGTAATTTAGGATACAAAAGTCTACATCAGCAGTGCCGTCTTCAGTGATTGGCAGTAGCTTTCCTCTTGCTATTTTTTCCTTCATTGAATTTTTACTTTGAATTATTTTAATCAAGTCTGACCATTTAAGTTATGTAAGTCCACGTTAATGCTGTCTTTGCTGATTGGAGACAGATTATCTTCTACAATTCAAGCCTAACGGCGGATTACTAGCACAACCCTAGTCGTAGTTTACATTTAAATGGAAAGGTGCTAGAAAAATATTTCCATGTCCCTATGCTTCCAGCATGCAGGCCACGTGTCGATTATAAGCATGGAGAGGAGGTGGGGAAAAAGAATGGATTGAAGTAATTATCCTTTAGTTACTTTTTATTTGTTGAATTATTTTATCTAATTCCAGTAATTTAGGATACACAAGTCTACATCAGCAGTGCCGTCTTCAGTGATTGGCAGTAGCTTTCTTCTTGCTATTTTTTCCTTCATTGAATTTTTACTTTGAATTATTTTAATCAAGTCTAACCATTTAAGTTATGTAAGTCCACGTTAATGCTGTCTTTGCTGATTGGAGACAGATTATCTTCTACAATTCAAGCCTAACGAGAGCAATGTGTGATTTTTTAAGTGGTCTATATTGACTGAAACGTGGGGTTTGGTTGAATTATGTTGATGACAATGATAATGCTCTTGGAGTCATTGTTTGGTGAGCACGAGGACATGGGTTCACTCTAAGGCAGCCAGTTCGTGCAAATAATGCTAGACGCTATATTTGTATTTACTATAACGAAAGGTGGCCTATAATTAAACATGAAATGGTAGTAATATATGACTAATGATTTTTCCAGGTCAAAATGTCTAACAAAGTTTAATATATTATTATTGAATATTACCGTGGGAAGTGGGATGAAGTGGAATAGTGTGTGTGACAGAGACAGACTGTGAACTGATAAGACCAAGGCAATAAAAAATTAATATACATCAATATTTATTCGGTCAGGTCGGATTTTTTCAGGTGTGCATTGCTTATATCCGTTTCCGACCGTGAAATCGTGAAATTGAATAGCAAAAAGCCGCAGCCGACCATGCTGGTTGTCGAAATCATCCATAAGAGCTCAGGTTCTACAATTCAAGCCTAATGGCGGATTACAAGCACAACCCTAGTCGTAGTTTACATTTAAATGGAAAGGTGCTAGAAAAATATTTCCATGTGCCTATGCTTCCAGCATGCATGCCATGTGTCAATTATAAGCATGGAGAGGAGGTGGGGAAAAAGAATGGATTGAAGTAATTATCCTTTAGTTACTTTTTATTTGTTGAATTATTTTATCTAATTCCAGTAATTTAGGATACACAAGTCTACACCAGCAGTGCCGTCTTCAGTGATTGGCAGTAGCTTTCTTCTTGCTATTTTTTCCTTCATTGAATTTTTACTTTGAATTATTTTAATCAAGTCTAACCATTTAAGTTATGTAAGTCCACATTAATGCTGTCTTTGCTGATTGGAGACAGATTGTCTTCTACAATTCAAGCGTAACGAGAGCAATGTGTGATTTTTTAAGTGGCCTATATTGACTGAAACCTGGGGTTTGGTTGAATTATGTTGATGACAATAACACTCTTGGAGTCATTGTTTGGTGAGCACGAGGACATGGGTTCACTCTAAGGCAGCCAGTTCGTGTAAATAATGCTAGACGCTATATTTGTATTTACTATAACGAAAGGTGGCCTATAATTAAACATGAAATGGCAGTAATATGACTAATGATTTTTCCAGGTCAAAATGTCTAACAAAGTTTTAATATATTATTATTATAATGAGAAATATATTACTGGAGAGAGAAAAGAAAATACAGAAATTCAATCATAAAGATAAACCCTGAAACAGATACTGATTGTTGGAAATCAATCGTATGAGGTTTAGAAAAATATTCCAATTGATAAAATTTGTTAGTTTTATGTTCTGTTTAAGAATGTTTGATCTTACATGTATAGTTAGATGAGTTTGTTAATTGGTGTGATTGATTGTATTGTTTTGAATTTTTTTTTCAAGGTTTATAATTGGTTTCTTTTTGGGTGCCATTCCCTGGTACATTGGAGCTTTTATTCTACTTTGTGTCCGGGCTGATTACCGAGAAAAACCAGGACTTATCGCATGCACGTTAGCTGTAAGTGTTTCATTATCCACCAATTCGTTTATGTTTTGTTAATGCTGTGCTCTGATCATACTTCTGTTTGTTTTAGTTCATAGTTCTAAGTTCTCAACGGTGATTTTGGACCTTCTTCTATAGCTCCAGTGTTGTTATTTCCTTTCAAAAGCTGCTATTGTGTGTGTAGGAGACTTGGGCAATGTGTCTTCTAGAGCAATGTGTCTTGGATTTAACTTACATTGTACCATATTATCTAATTTATTGTACAATTTATGATTTAGAGATGCACTAGATGGTTGATTATCACCTTCACAGGTAAAGGGGAATAAAAAAGAAGAAAAAGAAAAAAAATGTAATAATCATTGTTGTGGGGAAAAAAAGAAGAAAAAAAAAAGACGTAATAATCATTGTTGTGTGCATGTGGCTTGCATACTTGGCAAGGCGTTCATGAGCTGAATGACTTTTTAAAAGATTTTTCAAATTAGAGTTTTGGATGTCAATAACAGTTAAATGCCTTTTAATTATAGAAATTGTTAAGGAAATTGTTGCAATTCTCATTTCTTATGCGCTTTGCAAACTATATGCAGCAATCTCTCTCTCTTGTTTTGGTTGTCCTCTTTGTTTCACCTGCAATATTCGGCCCATAAGCACCTCCAAATAATGTGGATTTACTTCCAAGTTGTATATGTAGACTTTGAAATCAAGTGGTCATTACTGGCCACCAAATGATTAAATTTTGGTGGTATGTTGTGTCCTATCCTTTGAGGTAGTGCTGCCCTAGTGATTGAAATTGTATTGTATTTTTGTATATCAATAGTAATTTGATAGCTTCTGTTTTCCTTCATTAGATCTATCAATTCGATCCCTGAATTTTACCTCATGGAATTGCTTGATCTCTTCCTTGCACAAATGAAATAAATTCTTTTTTTCTTTATTTTGTTATTGAAAGTGGAAAACTTTTAAGCTTGTTCATTGAATTTTATGTTTAAATACATGCAGGCTTTTCTTGCTATGATTGCAGTTAGTCTTGGTGTGACAAAGGCAACTCATTCTTGGTGAGTTGGATCCAGACTGCTAAGGTGGTTGTATATTCCCGGTCAAAATCTCAAAAACATCTGTTTTATTGTAAATTTTTTAAAAAATTCTTGAGGAGATGTTTCATTTAACTGTGAAGGCAATCTTGAAGTTTAAGTGGTGTTCACATTGATTTCATCATCACAGTCACTATGTGTTTCTGATTAATAAATAAAATACTATGAGGTAGTGCTGCCCTGGTGATTGAAATAGTATTGTATTTTTGTATATCGATAGTAATTTGATAGCTTCTGTTTTTCCTTCATTAGATCTATCAATTCGATCCCTGATTTTTACCTCATGGAATTGCTTGATCTCTTCCTTTAACTAATGAAATAAATTCTTTTTTCTTTATTTTGTTATTAAAAGTGGAAAACTTTTAAGCGTGTTCATTGAATTTTATGTTTAAATACATGCAGGCTTTTCTTGCTATGATTGCGGTTAGTCTTGGTGTGACAAAGGCAACTCATTCCTGGTGAGTTGGATCCAGACTGCTAAGGTGGTTGTATATTCCCGGTCAAAATCTCAAAAATATCTGTTTTATTGTAAAATTTAAAAAAAAAAAATTCTTGGGGAGATGTTTCATTTAACTGTGAAGGCAATCTTGAAGTTTAAGTGGTGTTCACATTGATGCATCATCACAGTCACTGTGTTTCTGATTAATAAATAAAATAAATGCAGAACCACATTTTTTTAGTTTTTAGTCGAATATTAATCCAAATGATTGGTGTTATTGGTTGTTTCTACTATGTACTTTCGTTCCCGTGTATCGACACTCTAGGAAGGCTAGGGTTTTGTTCTATGGAAAAATTCTTGTACATGTGGGTGTAGAGGGGTATTTATTGTGTTCGTTTAGAACATCTTTACTAATTTTTATTTATTTTGGAGAAATATCTGTATTTTTTTACTTTGGACCCCTCATTTCTTTGAACCCCCACTTATGAAATTCAAATTATTTAAAATTTCTTTAAACCTCCAACTTAATACCAAAATTATCCCTATTGCAGTTACCTCTACTCCAAAGGCATGCGATAATCTTTTGGTGGTTTATATATGCATTGCGCACAAGTGGTCGTTGAGGAATGAAGTGCACATGTTTTTGTTTTTGTTTTTGTTTTTGTTTTTGTTTTGGTTTTGGTTTTGGTTTTGGTTTTTTTTTTTTTTTTTGAGGGGGGAGGGAGGGGGAGAAATTGTTTTAGAAAGAGTAGTGCTAAATGTCCCTACATTTTTACTTTGGATCCCTCCCTATAAAATTCAAATTATTTAAAATGTCTTTAAACCCCCAACTTAATACCAAAATTATCCCTATTGCAATTATCTCTACTCCAAAGGCATGCACACCCACTGCCCCTCTCCCCCCCCTCCACTGACTGTATTATCCCAACCCACCGACGGTCTCTTGAACAAGATTAAAGTTTTACAGTGCCAACCCACCAAAGATATATATATATATATATATTACCACATCTACATTCCGACCAACAACATCATCCCACCGATGAGATTGAAGTTGCGTGGTCCTTTTCACAAGACATGTGAAGGTTATTTTCAATTTTTTGGCTTTATTTCGATCATCATGTATTTTATGTACCAAAGCCGATAATGTCTGTTCGGTACTCCAGTATCAAACATTGTGACAAAACACAAAACCTTCTTTCCAAACAACAATCATATACCCAGTAGGGTGTTGCCGAACATTATCACCATGATGGGTTTGGTCTTGAAGGAAGTTAATGGATGAAATGTATTAAAATGGAACTGTTTTTCAACACTTGGAAACAACTAATCGAACAAATAAATTTTGTTCGGGATCCTATTGCCGAATTATTTAGTGTTTGGAACTTGGTTGCCGAACAATCTATATTTGTTCGGTAATCCAGAACCGAACTGAACACGTCAACTACGCAAAACCGGATTTCTGTTCAAAAAAACTTACCAATACATGGCAAACCTCGACGATAGTGTTGCTGTCATGCTCCATTGCTCACTTGTCACTGTCTCTTACCTCCTTCATCGCCTAGGTTACTGTCAATATGTGAAGAAGAACTAACACTATAAGCAATGATGGATTGAATGAGAATGGATTATGATTATGGTCAGGCGATAAGTTTTTTGGTGGGGAGTGGGTGTTCAATATCAGTGTGAGTGTGGTGAGAGTGGGTGTTTTAGGTAGGGGTGGGTGTCCAATTTTAAGTTGTCCTAGAAAGTAACTTTACTTAAGATCATAGTTGCCATTAAGAGAAAAATAAATAGGCGGGGGGTCCAAAGTGAAAAGGCGGGGCATTTAGCAGCACTCTTTAGAAATTTTTTAATGTAAAGAGCCACTGTAGATGCTTCAAAATGTGAACTTATTTTTTTATGATTATATCCAAACAAGTTATAAGATTTTTATATTCTATGCATAAAACATTTAAAAAAAATAAATTAGTTGTTCCTTTTAGAAGCTCCCATGTTATATGGATACACAATGAAGATTGAGGCAATGGGATCAGACTTGTACTCAGCCAACTATATGCCAAAGGTTTTTGGAAGGCAAGGTCTAGAGCTCGAGTCAACGTAAGGGATCAAATCAATCTAAGGGAGTCAATCTAAGGGATCAGTGAAGTTTGTTCGATTGTTAATTTTATATTCTCGAGATTAGTCAAGATGTATGCAAATTGATTCAAACACTGAGATACAGAAGCTCTTATTCACAAATAAGCGAACTATACATAGAAATAAGCTCTTACTGGGATACCATACCAGCAACAAAATTTTGTATAACAATTATCCATTAACCAGGGAGTTAGATACTTGTTCATGAGAAATTTTTTTTTATTTAAAAAAAGAGGTCTTAGAATGCCTTTTTTTTTTTTTTTTTTTTATTTATTAATGGCTTTTATATTAAGGGGAAAATGTTGTGATAGTCAAATGTATTTTTTGTCACATTTGGTCATTCCAAGGTGGCAAATTCAAGTATAGCTTAAAGAAAAAGCAATATTCATAATTTGAAGAGGGTTCAATTTAGATGATTTTGTGCCATTTTGAATTTATTTTGTTGATTTGAAGCATTTATTAAATATTTGAAGTGGGTTCGATTTAGATGATTTTGTGCCCATTCTGCATTTATTTTGTTGATTTGAAGCATTTATTATTTAATATCTCTCGAATAGATCATGAATAAAATAAATAAAAAGTTAATTGAATATTAATAACTACATATATGATGATCACATGTATCTTTAAAAATTTGATAATTTATATTTAAAATTATACTTGTCGTTTATTTTTTGAAAATAAATGTGAAGTAAACATGTGGTTAATGACATCAAATTAATTTGAAATGTATGAGAGGGTTGAAGAATATTGTCAGAAAATTCGAAGGCTCGTTGAAAAATTTGAATTTTTTAGAAATGATAAGAGGCTTAGATTTTTCAACGATCGCAATTAGAAACACAATAGTAAAGACATGATAGAGATAAGAGATTGGGTGAAAAAGAAGGCAAAGAGGTTAGAGAAATCTCTCATTTTCACTCTCAAGGTAGATAATGGAGAACGAAAATTAGTTTTTTCCAAAAAATTGTCTCTCAAAAATTCATCTCTTATAAAGCTATGGGTGAATGTTATTTATAGGCACTTCACGATGTAAAATGGAACCCATGTGCAAGGCACGTAGGAAATATTCTCTCTAACTGCTTTGTCTAAGGAGGTGACCTCTCCGAGCATGAGAAAAATCCCAAAGAGGAGATTAACCTCTCTACAAACCCTTCTTCTTAGCTATGCCTAACCAATGATCTCCAATCATCCCAAAGGGTCAGGGGTAGTCTCAGAGGACGCCCTGCCGCAGAAAGGTCAGGGTTAGTTCAAGAAAATGCCCTGTCACAAACATTGTCGAGTCTCAATGACCTCTTAGATCATGCCACTGTGACTCGGGTATAGGCTAGTTTAATCGACGAAGTGAATTTACCTTCACTCACCGTCCTCGGGATCAGGTCCTTTGTTCGGACTCCGTGACGCCCATGGTTCTGGTGCATTGATCCTAAAAAGCTTCGAGCCCTTAAGTGTTCTGAGACTTACTAATGGAGCGACTTCTAGATTACATTCGAAGTCAAGCGCTTCGGATCTTTAGGTTCGTAGATTTGAACCCTTTCAAGTCCGAGCTCAAATAGGTCTCTAGATTCATGGTTCCGAACTCTTTTGAGACTAAGCAAATACCTCGGAGAATGGATCTCCTCTGAGGGTTTCATCTCTTTTGAAAGCAATGATCAATCTTTTTAGACACTCATATGATTTGGATCTCCTTGCATGGGTTTGTTGAACTTTTTCTAGAGATATAAGCCCAATGGGTCTTCCTCAGACCAATTTGTTGATTTTCTTGTAGGCTCGTTCAATAGAATTCACTTGGGCTCATTTGGCTATAACTTCTTTGGACCCATTAATTTTTGGACTTCTCAATTGTGCTCCGATTGGACCTAATTAATTTAATGGGATCAAGTTAACCCCTCTTACAATTTGATTAATTTTTATGGATGATTTATTCAAAATATACTAAAAAATAAACAATTTAAATCAATAATGTGAACCTAAAATCTCTTAAAGTAGACCCTCTAGGAAACTTGCCTCAAAGAAAAATGGACTGAACTTGTGCAATTGGAATTATAAAAAAAAGTGGAAATTAGATGAAACTTCAAAAATTAAGTATAAATTTATAAAAACACTTATAATTTTTTTTTAATATATAGTTTATTGCTAATTTGAAAATATTATTTTAAAGATGCACTGATGCGAAATTACCCTTAAGAAAAAAGCAATTACAAAATGGAAATTTTAGTAGTCCTGTTAACAAGTATATTTAAGATACAATAAAAAAAAAAATATATTTTTTAAGAACACGAGATACATTTTTTATTGAATTCAATACGATTTTTATTGGAATCAATAAATTTATTAACATTTTTCACCTATTTTCAAAATATTTTTAACTTAATCCCAATATTAGGGATAGTGTTATGGTATGCACTCTTGTTACGATTTTTTATTGTAAACATTACGTTTTTTTTTTTTGTAGAGTTATGACTATATAATTTAAAAATAAACCTCAGATTATTAAAAATATATATATATATATATATATGAAGGAGATGGATTACGAAATCAAAACATATAATTTTAAAACAAAAAATAATTTAAAACAAAACATCTAATTTAAAACATTTTTATTACAGAAAATAACTTACAATTACACGAACTGCAAGGATCTTGAATGGTTACAGCACAAGGGTGTTGGTTTCACTCAGAGCTCTTGGATTACAGATTTTTCTAAGTCTGCCGAATGGATCCAACTTGAGTTCATTATATACAAAATAAAGAAAATAAAACAATAATTAACTGGAGAAAGCATCTGGCAGCGCATGAAGAAAAGCAGATGCTGTCGGTTGCTTTCGGTGGATTCATTGAATATTTGAACAGCTTTAAACAAAAGTTGATTGGGTGAATAGTGACAGTGAACAGTAAAAGTGAACAGTAACTTTCACTATTCATCACTTTCGGTGAATTATGTGAATAAGGGAATCAATATAAATACAAATTGGCAGCTTTTCTCAAAAGAGTATTGATTGAAGCTAATTTGTATTTATGTATGGAATCCAAGGTTGATTAAACAAATGGATCCTGAGCATCTTGAAACTCAGGTCCTGAATACTGATTGGTTGATTCTTCAGAGGA